GCTTCTTGTTCTGCTAATTTATTGAACCATCAGTGCCCAGTGGGCACTCACTCTAAGAGAGGCGGAATTGTTGCGAATTGATATCGATGCCAGAAAGATTTGCACTTTACAATTAGAATCATCTAGCGGTCTGTTTATCTGTCTAATCAGCAACTACAACTCATTACGAATTTATGCATCTCCGTTATCACCAGTGTCAGTTAGCGTAGAGAATCAGTTTCGTTGAATTGCTCCTAAATTTGAGTGCAGTCACTCAAATTATTGGAATAACCGTTAATATCACTTAATAAATGCTACTTAAAAATTGTTACTTCTTAATCGTTTTGAACGATTGGCAAAATGTTTATTGTTGTTACGACTAATTATTGTTCGGCTGTGCTTAATCATGCAAAGCATTTATGGTGACTAATATTCATTATCAGAACGTTTAATATGCCGATCGCTATGGACTGTAGTAATGAAATGTGATATTGGTGATAATAAACTCATAATGAGTTTTAACTGCTGATTAAATAACAGATGGTGATGAAAAGAAAAGTTCATTCCATGATTCTATGTATAAAACTATACTTTAAAATGACATTTTCATCCTAATGTTTTCTAAAATTTGCTGATGAAGAGTTGAAGAAATAAACAGCGGCGAATGAGTAATTGTCGTCGTTTGAGATAGACGTTATTAGAATGATTTGCGTTTATTTGTGTATTGTTTCATAGTCCTGATCCTTCAAACTAAATCAAAGTTCCGTCAAACTAAATCAGTTAAATTAATTCAATCAGATATGGTATACCAACGATGAAACTCGATAAATTTATTGTTGATCGTCGTGTTAAGTTGATGGAAGCAGAGGGTGTCAAATTTTTGACTAATACCGAAATTGGAAAGGACGTTCCGGCTAATTTCCTATTGAAGGTGCAATTGCTAACTCATCTTATTGATTTTCATTCCAACCTTTGACGATATTGAAGTGAAATATTTTAACGTTAAAGAAGTAGTATGAAATATGTGTGAATAATATGAATAAATGAGATGAGTATAAATCAATGATGATGTGAATATGACGGTGTGTTAATTTGAAGGATAATGATGCTATACTGGTATGCACCGGATCGACAGCAGCACGTGACTTGCCGATCGAAAATCGGGATGCAAAAGGAATTTGTTTCGCCATGGAATTCCTAGAGAGGTCACAGCGCAGACGATGTGGCGATGACATCTCATGGGATGGCTTGGATGCGAAGGACAAGCGAGTGATCATCCTGGGTGGTGGTGACACGGCCACTGATTGCATTGGCACATGCATTCGATTGGTGCCCATTTATTGTTATCATTCATCACTATTTTTCTTTTACTTCTTTGATGTTCCCTAAATTCAACCAGTATTCAAATGCGCAACGAGAAATATGAAATATTTTGAGGGTGCTAAAAGCATTCGCGCGTTCGAAATAATGCCACAGCCGCCAAAAGAAAGAAGTGAAACGAATCCATGGCCTGAGTGGCCGACAATATTCCGTGTTGATTACGGTCATGAAGAGTGCCAGAAGATAAATGGTAAAGATCCGCGTACATATGCTATTTCGACGAAAGTATGGCCAATTTTATTCCATCTTATACTAATTGCCATCATCATTAGTTTGTGTCTTTTCAGAAGTGTTGTTTAACTTCTGATTAATTGCATTGTGAAAGCAGTCTTTGAACTTCAATAGGATTGAATATATAAGAGGGAGATAACGGCCGGTAAGATTAAGGAGCGAGGTTGGGAACAAGCATAAAAGTATTTGTAGCGTGAAATAGTATCAAAATAATGCAATAAATGTAACTTATTGTATTGTATTTCAGAACTTTATCGCGGCAGAAAATTCAGCCGGTATAAAAGTTTTAACTGGACTTGTAACCGTCGAAGTGGAATGGCAAAAGGATGAGGGTGGAAAATGGAAGATGATTGAAATTGAAGGAACACAAACGACGCATCCATGTGATTTATGTATTCTTGCGATGGGATTCGTTGGACCTGAAAAGGTTTATCATTGACTTCATTTGAAAGTCTACCTATATCTTTGTTTTATATGTAATTGAGTTGCTATTCGTCATAGTATTACTGATATGATAAAGGATGATGATAAAAATGAGGCTTTCAGACTGCAATTGAGCAGTTAGCGATCAAGACAGATCAACGTTCAAATATTATGACCGGTGAGCATCGTTACAGTACATCGGTTGCAAAAGTTTTCGCAGCTGGAGATTGCCGCAGAGGACAGTCTCTGATTGTATGGGCTATTCATGAGGGTAGACAAGCTGCACGTCAGGTTTCTTTTGCTGTTACTGTTCTTGTTTTCTTTTGTTAACAGCTATCTTATTGAGCGCACTATTTCTTATAGCAGTGATATTAAAAAATATTAGTGAATCAGTAAATATTTCAGGTTGATCATTATTTGATGGGTAAAACATTACTAGCTGGTCCAGGTGGTGTTGTATTGGCTCCAATCTATCAGTAGGATAGATATTGCATAAACAGTATCTGTTGGTGATGAAAATAATCAATGATCTGATTCGGCTGATGATCTTCTCATAAAATATCATTTTATCTTACTCATAATATTATTTTGTTCTATTTTTTTCAAGAATTGTAGTCATTTTTGTCGATACTGTTATCAGTCTCTATTTACCGTTATAATATAAAGAAATTCATTTGTCAACTATCAACAATACATTTATATGTCTCTTCTTATTAAGTTATTACATTTTTATCTTCTCGCTTCTTCTGCTCGCTTTCATTCTGTGTGTGACATCTATCAACTAATGTGAACTGTTTTCAAAGAACGTTCATTTAGATGCTGATTTTCTTTTTGTTGAAAGATTCCATTTTGAGTTATATGAACATTATTCAGTGTTGGATACCCACTAAGTCAATCCCCACAATACAGATCATTTTAAGTTTAAAATGGTCATTGAAAGTGACACAACAACAAAGTGAGAAGCGAAGTGAGAAGAGATGTGACCAGATTTTGTCTTAACAAGAAAGAATTCACCATGTAACAGTAGATGTATCTATTTGTCTGTCTGTTAGATGTAGTCAGTTGTGATAAAATATGATGCGAAGGAATAACTCATGATCTGCTTTATCATTATCTATTCAACTGTAAAATATAGTGTATTCTCGTATGGTACCATATGTAATAGAATAGTACACTATATAATAATGCAATATATAATTGAATCATATAAAAAAATAATCATTTCCAATTTCAAACTGTCCTCTTCTCTACCACTGGTTTCCATTGTCACATTTGTCATCAAGGTTCATCAAATTCAGCACATGATCTTTCTCATGTACACAGGTTCGGTTTTTTGTTTTGGATTTATTGCGATTGTTTACTCATCTTGCATCCATCTTATTCTGTTCAAATTCAACATTTGTTTTAATTTATTACATGCATGTAATTGCCGAAAAGTACATTCAGGCCAGTCCAAAATCTCATATTGTTCTGTAATATTAAACATCAGTGTTTATTCGTTTACTCAGTCATATTTTCTAATGTTCGTGATAGGTCGAAAGAATTATGCTTCATTCTTTCGTAATAACAGTATGCATACATACGTATGCATACTATTATTAAGAAAGGACGAAGCATAATTTTTTACAAATTTTTACGAAGCATAATTTACAATTTGTTACACAAATTTCAAATTTTAATTGGAATCTCTTTAATTTATTGGGCAAAGCAAAAGCAATACCTGGTTTATAAAGGAAACGCAAAATAAACAGCACTCCAACATGGAGTGCTGAACGTTCTGATCATTGGTTACTGACCAAAAAGGAAAAGTGAGATTTGAGGTGTACTAGGTGAATGCAACCAACAATGAAAATATGAATGTTCCCAAGTAATGTATGAGGCGGTTAACAATGTCGATACTCTCATTGGAACAGTGTTGAATATAGTTGAGTGGAAGTGTGTGGAGAGCAAACAGTAAATGTAGGCCTGAAGCTAAGGCCAAGTTTGAACGTAAGCTTGAAACAGTTTGAACTTTTAAGTTTTGGTCACGAACTTTCAGTAACTAAGCTGCATAGATGCACGTACACTGAGCTGTTGTTGTATTCATTTAATAGAAACAAAAAGTTCATTCAATTCAATCGTTTTATAATTGCTAATGAGCTTATTTCTTGGTTTTGCAATGGGATGGATCGTTTAATCAATTTATTTATTTATATATTATGCTTGCTTTTTACTCTCGTTTTATTTGCTGTTTATTCGTAATCTCTTCCATCAGCATTCTTCGTCTTGTTTCAGTCTATACATAATTTTCGAGTTGGATTCCATTATGTTGTCTTTTCGTTTTCGATCTTATCTGAACAATAAGCAGTTGCTATTGTGTACTCCTTTTGAACTGTTATTCGACTTCACCAAGCATATTTCTGTTATCTTTCTCATTTCTAATTAGGCCACTGAATGTTTCTCTTTGAGTCGATTCATCATTTGATATGTTTCATATGGTTCCATATTGGTCGTCACCAGTATCCTAATCATAAAATACTGGATGATCTGGTAGAGTTTGTTTAGTATATCACTTTGTATTGTGAAGGTATGAAATGAATATGAATCGAAATATTATGATGAATAAATCGTTTGATTGGTTAACGCTGTTGGGTTGAGTTTATTTACTCAAACATTGCGTAAACATTAAAATATTTCATGAATTAGAGAAAATGATGTTTTATTTAGGAAAATTCCGAGGAAAAATTTCAACTGTCGGCTCAACTTACGTTAGTGCGACTCTCCTCTAGATTGTTTATTGATGGCGTTTGTGCATTGCGTTTCGATGTAATAGTTAATGCCTGCTAAATGTGGTATCAAAATGTATACGAACTGAGTTGACAGTGCTACTTGCACGGTTTTGTATGTACAGTGAACAGATACAGGTGCAGTGTGCTAGTGCTACGTGTGTATTAAAAATGATTATTTCGTCAATATAATACATAATTTAACGATCCAGCAAACTGAGTCCACTTGAAGATAATTGAAGTCAAAGCCAAAGTCAAGTTAAAATCAGCTCAACTTTAAAGCAAACTCACCGCAACTCAGACTTAAAGTTAATTAATCGAGTCAAAATCAACTTGAACTTAACTCACATTTGAAGCAAGCTAAAGTCATCTCCTACCAAGTTGAATGGAATGAAGTCATGTTAAATGATATCAATCTTACCTTGCGATTATCTTGCGACCTGTCTTCGCTCTCGATGTGGGCGCAGGTCTACTGATCCCCATATTACTTTGTTGAGCAGACCTTTTCCATTTTTGGCCAAACATTCTGACAAGCGGTTCATCCCATCTCATTCGTGGTCTGCCTAAGGGCCTCTTCACTCCACTTGGAATCCACGGTGTTATTCGACTAGTCCAACAGTTATCATTCATTCTCGCTATGTGCCCAGCCCATCTTCTTTTGCTGATATACATTTCGTTTACTATGTCTTTCACCTTGGTCATCGAACGTAGTTCCTCATTTTTATCTTGTCTTTCCATGAAACGTTACACATCCGTCTTTCCATTGCTCTTTCTGTTATAGCAAATTTTTCTTCTGCAACTTTTGTGGTTGCCCACGTTTCGCTTGCATATAACATAGCCGGAAGGATTGATGAGTTAAATATATTTCTTCTGATTCTTATTGGCAGGGTTTGATCTGTCAGTACCGTTCGATATTTTCCAAATGCTGTCCTCCTTCTTTCCCATTCTCCCTCAGGACAGTTATTGGGATCTGTTGTAGAGTCCACAGTTGTATTAGACTTTATTAAAAACAACTAG